TATTAAAATTAATTTTTTCTTGTTTTTCAACACTTAAATAACTATATTATGGTCAAGTATTTTAATACTTATTTTATTATTATGAATTTGAAAATCTATTTAATTTACATATGTAACCATATCAAACATAAAATGGTCACAATTGATTGTTTATTATAGCACCATTAAAATAACAAATTTTTGTTTTTGTATTTAATATTTTATTGGAATTATTTAAGAAAGAATTTTAATCAAAAGTTTATAAAAACTTGAAAAAAAACAAAAAATAAAATAAATATTTGAAAACTTTTTTAATAACATTCTTTTTAAAAATTGAAAACACAAAGGTTTTTTTTGGTATAAACAATAATTCCTTTACAAGTTTGTAAATTATTAAGTTTTTTTTGAAAACCATCCTAATTTTGAAGACCCTGATGTTAGGTCATTCATTTTAATCGTATTTCTATTCTTTTTAATATTATATTAACATGTTAAATTCCAATGCAATTTGTAAAATTTTGTTGCATTTTACATTGTTTTTATTTAAAAATAATGAGTGATTTTTATAATGAAATTTTGTTAGTTATTTTAAATTACATCATTGTCAATATTGTGATTTTTCGAATTTAAATAAAACATAAAAAAATAAGATACTTTAGGTGTGTATGTTGCCATCTTACAGCTTCGATCTTGTAATGTGCCCGCTAAAAAGTCGACGACATAATATATTATAAATGTGCCTATTTTACCAAGTGGATAAGCTTCTGTTCCAAACTTGAATAATATTGGTCGATTGGAAATATCTAATTTGGAATAATTTAATATAAAAGATTCATTTTTCACACCTCCAATATAGTGGTCGGCAGTTACATTTAAACTTGCTTGTAATAAATTGGCAGCAATTACATTTATATTTGTGGTAAAGTTGTAACCATATGCCCATTTGTCTATAGTGGCATTTTCAACATAAGCTCCTTTTCTTAAAGTTCTTACAACTAACGGAGTTTTTTCTGCTTGCGAAAGGTTAAAGAATAAAATAACGAAAAACATTGAATACAAATACTGATCTTTTGTTTAAATATTATAAATAAATGGTAGAAACTGATAACATGAATATAATTTTTGGTTTAAAATTCTTCTGTTATTTTTGTTTTAAATAAATAACCAATTTGTTTACAATCATGTCAATATAATAAAAAAAATTTACATAAAAATACAAAATAGTAACACTTTGTTTTTATTTAAAACAAGTCATTTAACATTATGGTTTGTTTTAAAAACTATATTTTAAAAAATTATTGTTTTCATATTTTAATTGAAAAGAGGACAAATATTAACTACATCTTCGTAATGAACCAAAATATTAATTTGTTTTTTAAATTTCAATGACCAAATTAATACTTAATAATATCATTTTTGGCATTTGTAAAAATGAAAACAATCTTTTGAAAAACAAAACACAAAACAAAAAAAATAATTTTAATTTAAAAATTATTATGTTAAATTATCTTTTAACATATTTTATTTATATTTAATAAATACAACACAATCATATATATTCAAATGTTATTTGTTGTGTTGTTGTTCACAATATCATTGTCTCAGACTATCCATTACGATTTGAAACTTGAAGATTGTCATCTTGATTTTAGAATTGATAGTTTATCATACGATCAAGATGAAGATGTTTATCACTTTTTCTTTACAGTTATTGCAGATGACTCATTTTCAACCGCTAAAATGGAATTTGGAGGTACTAAATATAAAGGAAGTGAAACGGTATTGAGACCAGGTACCTATTCTCTTGTTGTTGATGTTTCAAAAACTCATTTTTTAAAAGAAAACCGTGTTGTCTTACGAATGTATTCCATTTATGGAAATGAAACCAAAAATCTTTACCAATATTATCAAAGTGATTTCAACTATGAATAAGTAAAACTTTTATTTTAAACAATTTCTGATAAAAAAACATTTGGATATTTAAAATTTATTGTTTTAGTATCAGATAATATGTATTAATAATACTAAATGATACTGACAATAAAATAAATATGTCAAAATATGTCAATAAATAAATAAAATTAAAAAAACGGTTAATCTTAATTTAATTTTTATAAATAAACAATTAAAGTTAAAAAAAACTATAAATCACCACTTCTCTATATAAAAAGATTAACTAACACTAAAATATGTATTATATTTTAATGAAAATGAATATTAGATATATAGTTTGTTTTACTTTGAAATAAAATAAAATATACCAAAATATATTAATTATTTTGTTCGTGGTTTTGTGTACTTTTTAACGATGATTTTACCACAACCTTTAAAACAATTGTTTCCAACTCTTTCCGTTTTGAAAGGCAGAATTATTTCTCTCAAATTTTTATTGTTCAGAAATGCCTCCTTTCCTATTTTTAACATTTGATCGCTAAAAATAACTTTTGTCAAGGCACAATTTTCAAAACAATTTTCTCCAATTTGTCTGACATTTTTTCCTATTTTTATCTCCTCCAAATTTGTGCACCCGGCAAATACCGCCGCCTCAATTTTACTCACACAATCGGGGACTTCAAAATATGACATTTCGCAACACCCCGCAAACGCCTCGAAATGTATTTCTTCCAATTTTTCTGGCAGTTCAATTTGAAACAACTTTTTACACTTCTCGAAGATTCGGTCGGGGAGTTTTTTGACGTTTCGAGGAACACAGATTTTAGTCAACCCGCAGGCGTAAAAGCACTCTGAGTTTAATGTCTGTAAACTCTCTGGCAGTGTGATGTCCTCCAGCTTTTCACATTTTGAAAAGCAACCTTCGCCAATCTCTTCCAGTGTATTAGTCAACACCACCTCCTCCAATTCAGTACATTGAAAAAAACACTTTTCTGGTAAAACTTTTAATTTAAATAATTCATTTGACAAATTTTTAGGGTTTTCATTTGAATAACATTCGAAAACAACTTTTTTGAGACGTTCACAAGACTCAAAGGCGCCAAAGCTTATTTTAGTGACTGACTGAGAAATTGTCACTTCTTGAAGATATTTGTTGTGTGAAAAAGAAGAGACGCCAATCAATGAAAACGTTTCTGGTATTTTTAAAGTCTCGATGGTATTAAATGGGTTTTTCTCTCTTTTGATAGTCTGAAGGGTGTTCCTCTCAATTTCTGTTTTGCACTTTTCGCTGAGTAAAACGCAATTTTCAAACGACTTTTCTTCAAAATGTGTATTTGTCCCATAACTGCACAGATTTAACTTTTTACACCCAGAAAAGCACTGGCTTTGTACCAAAACTACATTTTTGGGAATGTTCAAATCTCTGATATTTTCACACCCTTCAAAACAGTTGTCTGGTAGAACGTCAATCCTGTCGTTGAAGACAACGGCTGACAATTTTGTGTTGTCTGCAAACGCAAAATCACCAAGATACGTCAAAGACGAAGGCATCACCAAAATTTCAATTCCCGTGTCTTCAAAAGCGTGTTGCCCGATTTTTACGAGGTTCTGTGGACACTTTGTGTTGCTTCCTGTCACAAAGAGTTTCTCACACCCTTTAAAACAATTTTCTTCGACTTCTTCGACGTCGTCCAAATTTTCAATGATATACAAATTGCGGCACAACGCAAATAAAGACTCGGGAAGATGTCGAATTCCCAGTGGAAGTCGAAACTTCGAGAGACAAAAGCAATTTTCAAACGCGGAATTTCCAATGGAAGTTATTGCGTCTGGTAAAACAATTTCTTTTAAAAATTCGCAGCTGAAGAAACACTTTTTGTTGATGATAAGACATGAAGGGGGATCACGACTTTTTCAAGCTTTTTGCACGACGAGAAAAGATATTTGGAGAGCTCTTGCAGTGTGTTTGGAAGGCAAATCTGAGTCAAATTTGACATTCTCGAAAACGCGCATTTTCCTATGGAAGTCACTTCACTTGGAATGTCAAGTCTTTGTATCAGCGAGCAATTGGTGAACGCGAAATCTTCGATTGCCTCGAATGTCGATGGCAGTTGCAATACCGAAAGTTTCTCACAACCAAAAAAGAGACCACGTGATATAGTACCACATCGCGCTTTGACTGTCGCAGTTTGGATATTTTTACAGTTTGAGAAACACCTTTTCTCAAGTGTTGTGACGTTTGTGGAAATGTCGATTTTAGTCAACCCACAGCCATTAAAGGCCTTTGCAGCAATTTTTGAGACACTTGGTGGGATGTCGATTTTCTCAAGTTTTTTGCACTTTGAAAAACAGAATTTTTGGATCTCTGAAAGTGTTGAAGGCAATTTCACCAATTTCAGTTGAAAATCTCTTTCAAAGACGCCATTTCCGATTTTTGTCAAAGAAGGTTGGCACTCAAATTTTTTCAGGTTTTTGCAGTTGAAAAAAGCATTGTCGCCAATGCTCTTCACAGTCGTTGGAAGGTCAACAACTTCAAATTTTTGATTGCAAAAAGTTTTGGGCGGAATTTCAACTGCGTTTTTTGGAAGAACAAATTTGGTGAAATCGTCGTCATCTGAACTGTCGCGTTTCGTCCGAAAAACTTCACAATAGACATCATCAGAAAATTGGTAATCAGAGTCGGAAGAAAGATCTGATGATGTCGAAGTGCTCGATGATTTTGTATGTTTAGCGTTGGATTGCGACGAATATGAGGAAGTGGACGAGTCCGATGAACTCGAAGAAGAGCTGCTTGACATTTTTGTTGAATTGAAGTTTCTAGAAGTCTTTTTGAGGGCAAAAATTGTGTTTTTTTAAATAAATATAGACAAACATCGAATACAACTTAAAAATTAATTCTTTTAATTGTTTAAATAAAAAAATAATCACTGTCATCTTTCTTTTTGATTATTGTATCATTATTAAAAGTGGTTGAAAATGGTACAAAAATGTAAAAACATTTGATGGTTATCAAATAAAAAAGTCAACTATAAATTATAATACAATTATCCCAAATTGTTTTTACTTTTTTTAAAAATAATTGAATTAAATGAAAAATGATCATAACAAAATTATCGATTAAAATTTGCTTAGAAAATGACCATGAAAGCCAAGATCAAAGCAGCAACAAGAGTTTCAAATGCGCCAGAGCATGTTTCACACTCTTTATCACCTTCTTTGCAAGGAGTTTGGTAAGTGTCTTTGCACTTATTACACATTCCTTCCATTTCGAAATACTTTTCTGGACAAACATCAACACACTTGTTCTCCATCAAGAACATATTTTCTTTGCACTTTTCGCACGTGTCTATGGCTGTGCACATGATACAATTTTCCATGCATTTATTACACTTGGTTGTATCAACTTTAAAGAAACCATCAGCACAAGTATCAACACATTTCATTGTTCCCTCTTCCAACAATTTCGGAGCAACACATTCCGAACAGTCTTTGTCGTTTGTGCATTTGTCGCACCCTTCCATACACTTCTTGCATGTTTTATCAACTTTGTAATACATTGCAGGGCAATTGGTTTTGGAACATTTTTTGGTGTCATCTATCAAGAAAGAATCGTCGTTACAGACTGAACATGTGTTTTCATCAGTACAAGTCTTGCAATTTTGAGTGCAAGAAGTACACATATTGTCTTTGGCAAAGTACATATCGGGGCAGGTGGCTTTGCATCCGGTTTTATCAGGTTGAAGATTGTCAGACGAGCAAGTGGTGCAAACATTATTTGCAGTGCAAGTCGCGCAATTTGGCATTGGTGTTGAACACAATTCACAAACATCACCTTTCATGTAATATCCACTTTTACATGTTAAACATCTTATTGAATCACAAGTCGCGCAATTTTTAGTCGAGTCGCAATTTTTACAAGTTGTACCATCTGCGTAATATTCAGCCGGACAAGTAGATCCAGTAGTACACTTTCCAGTATCTTCAATGAGCATACCAGTTTTACATTCTGTGCATTTGGTATTCTCTGTGCACTTTTTACACTCAGTCATACAGTTCATACAATTGAAGTTTGTAAGATTAACAGTGTCTTTATAATATCCATCTTCACATTCAGAAACGCATTTGCTGATGTCTTGCTCGAGATACATATTTTCGTTGCATTGGTAACATTTGTCTACAGCACACACTTTACAATTATCACGAGCCTTTTTACAAACAGTCATATCATATTCACAATAGTAATTAGCTCCATCAATACTTAAGAAATCGGTATCACATGCTTTGCAATTCGGAGTGAACTCGCCTGCCAGTTTTCCTGCTGGACTTGGTGGAGTTACAGGTTCACTAACATCAACACATTGGAAATTAGTGCACCCAGCCTTGAGTACATTTACACTTCCAAAAGTAGATGCAGTGTAATTTACTGTTACGTATATGTGTAAATCGGCATTCAATGGGGTTTCGGTTGGTAAAGTTGTTGGCGCAACTGTGCCGTGGAACATCAAATTCTTTTGGTCAGTGAGTGGATCCAAAAGTGAAGTAAGTGGACTATACAAATTGATACTTTCCAGGGCCGTACAACCACTGAAAGCATCATTAGCAACTGAAGTAACCTTTTGTGTCCCAGAGACATTCATTAATTTGGTACAACCCTTAAAAGTACCTTCAGGGATCACAGTATTTGTTGCCAAATCCGCGTGAGTTACCTTTTCATCATTTTCGAATACATGGGTTCCAAATTCTGTCACAGTTGGTATTAATAATTCAGTAACAGCGGAAAGACTTTTAAACGCCATGTTTCCCAATTGTGTTACTTCTTTTGCAAATACGAGGCTGGTAAGTGCAGTAGATTCGAATGAACTTGCACCAAATGAAACCACAGACTCCATTCCCGTAACTGTAGCAAGTGTTGTGCATCCTTTGAATGTTGAATCTGGCACATTGGTTAATCCAGTAATAGTGGCTTCGGTAAGTGTTGTTATTCCTTCGAAAACACCAGTTCCAAAAGTGGTTATTGGAGTGGTTGGCAGTATTAATGTCACAAGTTTGGTTCCCATAAAAGCACTATTTCCCAGTTTGGTGACTGTTGTGCCAAAAGTTATTGCAGTCAAACCACTAGTGATAAAAGAAGAATCATCAAAAGTTGTAATTGATTCACCATTAGTAATAGTGGTAAGCATGGTACATCCTTCAAAGCAACTGGTTGGAATTGTATTAACTTCTGCCAAGTCGATAGTTGTAAGTGCTGCACACCCACTAAAGGCTTCTTCTCCAATGGATTCAATCTTGTTTTCAATTGTGACCGTGCTTAACATTGTTGCACCTTTAAAAGCTTTTGCTCCAATGACCAATTTTGTTGTTGGTTGATATTCAAAACTGGTGATAGCAGTGTTTCCCATGAAAGCCTCTGAACAAAGTGGTTTGGCATCAGTTTCTTCAATTACCACGGCACCCGTACATTCTTTTGTATCTCTATCTTTTATACATTGATTGGTTTCGTCAATCATATAGCAGCTCTCTGCAGATAAAGTCAATGCAATAAGACATGTAAACATGAAAAGTGATTTCATTTGAATGATAACTGTTTTTCAAATTTTGTTTTTATACCTCTTGTCCCTCAAAATAGATTTATTGGCACTCAAATTCTTTTCAAAATATATTTTTTATATGATTTTCAAATTTCGAAAACTACTTTTTACTTATAAAAAAGTCTAAAAGTTTAGGAGCAATGTCAAATGTGTCAAAATGCAATTATTATTAGACTTTTTGGTTTTAACCATTTTATAATTTGGCCAATAAACTTGGGCTTGAAACGAAAAACTACTCCCTTTGTAAAAAACAAATTCTATAAATTTAAATTAATAAATTATTATTTTAACTATATATTATTTTGTTTGTAAATAAATTAACATTATAATTACTCTATAAAAATTATAAAAGTTAAAATAAATCTTTTTGCACAGCCACTTTGTTCAAAACATATCATCAATAATAAAAAAACCATATGTGGCAATTTATATTGTGTCATTATACTAAAAATTGTCTGTTTTGCACATAAAAACACATTTCAAATTGTTTCACTACTATAATAATTAATGATGATTATTTAAAAAAATATAAAATATAATAAAATAGTATAATGTTTTTCAATTGTTTGACTGTATAAAAGCAAGTGTGTTCGATATACTAATATTAATTTAAAATTAGTCGAAATAAATACAAATAAAATAATATTTGTTGAAACGAATAAAAAATAAACATGTTTTCAAAATTGGCTGATGATTAAGAATGTGGAAAGTGACAGTCATGTTTATTTATTGATTGTTTATAAAAACAACCATTAATGATAGATAAAATATTATAATTAATAATTTTAGTTAAATAGTTTAAAGTAAGTGTTTAAAAAATCAAAAATACCAATTTCTATTCGGTTTGTTATATTTAATTGGTATGTCTTTGAAAAACATTATAATTAGTCTAAATCCTTTAATTAATGCTTATTTGTAATTATTAAAACATTTCGCCAAAAAGATGAACATTTTAAAACAAACCAATAATAATTATAATCAACGTAATGAAATAAACGTCTTTGATATTAAATTGAATATAAAGTCAGTCTGAAAATTTTATTTATTTCTAAAAATAGAATATTTTTGTTATTTGGTTTTGTTTTTTAAATTTATTTTTTCACTTGTAATCAATGTTTTTTCGATGCAAACGAACTTAGACAAATTGACAAATTTGTTTTTTAACACTCAAACACTGTGTATAACAACAGAGAATAATTCCACCATTGTAAACAGTAGTTATGCGCATTTTATTATTTGGTGATAGATACAACACGAGAATTCGACAACAAACAACTTGGATTTCACCAAATAAAAATTAAAATTATGAGACATTATAACAAAAAACACCACACTTGGCAATCTCGAACATAAAATTGCAGTTTAGCATTCGAGTAAGAGTTTTTCGTTATTGTGTGGGTGTCGGTTTTCTTTCTGAAAGAGTACATTTTAAAAAAGTTAAAAAAAGTACTCGCGACTAAAAACAAAATTTCATAAGTAAATAAAAAACTCAGTTTGTTTTACAGTATTTCCCGTTATTTTTGGGATATAACAACGTTAATATAACCATTTATTAACAAACAAAAAAAATAAATTGATGTTAATACAATTTATTTTTTTTTGTTGTTTTATAAATAATAGTTTAAACAATAGTAATTATTATTGGATATTATTATATTATCTTTAAAAAAATAAATAAACAAAGTTTCCAGACTGACTTTATTTGTT